TACTGCTGGTCATAGATACTTTCTCACTATTGTGGATGATCATTCTAAGATGATATGGTTTTTTATAGATGAAATTGAAAAGTGATGCTACTGTTTTGCTTAAATCCTTTATTAAAATGACAACTGTTCGGTTTGATAGGCATGTTAAGATGATAAGAACAGATAATGGTGCAGAATTTTTTAGTAAAGAGTGTACAGATTTCCTACTCCAAAGTGGAATTGGGCATCAAAGTAGTTGCCCACATACTCCACAACAAAATGGAGTAGTGGAGAGAAGACATAGACACATTTTAGAAGTGGCACGAGCTCTAAGGTTTCAAGGGCATCTACCACTCCATTTCTGGGGAGATTGTGTTCTGACAGCAGTCTACTTAATCAATAGGCTACCATCTACTGTATTAGCTGGAAAATCACCATATGAAGTTTTTCACAAATCTGAGCCTTCACTGTCCCATCTCAGAGTTATTGGTTGCTTGTGTTTTGCCACTGTTACTGAGAAAGTAGATAAATTTTCTCCTAGAGCTATTGCTGCAGTACACATGGGCTACTCTGCTACACAAAAGGCTTACAGACTTTATGATTTTAAGTCCAAGAGATACTTTGTGAGCAGGGATGTATCCTTCAGGGAACATATATTTCCTTTTCTCCAGTTGAAGTATGGTGATAACAACAGACTTTTCCCAGAATTAGAGAATACGTCTGATGATTGCTATCCACCACCTGTTGCATCTGAGGTTGTTCATTCCCCTGATGAGCCAGTTTCTGCAGAGTCCTCATGCTGAGACCACTGTTGGTCCTCCTCCACCTGCAAGAAAGTCTTGTCGACCTTCCAGACCTCCTATTTGGATGACAGATTTTGTTTGCCCTTCCAAAGGAAACAAATCTTGCTCTTATCCCCTCTCCAATTATGTTAGTTATGCTTCTCTTAATCCACTTTGCCAATCCTACCTGGCTTCCATTTCTTCTGAAGTTGAGCCTTCTTCTTATGCTGAGGCTGTCAGAGATCCCAGATGGCTTGCTGCTATGCAGACTGAGATCACAGCCCTTGTTACCAACAAGACTTGGGAGGTGGTTGATATTCCTAAAGGGAAGGTTCCTATTGGCTGTAAATGGGTCTATAAGATTAAGTATCATTCTAATGGGGACATTGAAAGGTTTAAAGCTAGGTTGGTTGCTAAAGGGTATAGCCAACTTGAAGGTCTAGATTACCAGGAAACTTTTTCCCCTGTTGTCAAGATGGTTACAGTCAGGGCTGTCATTGCTTTGGCTTCCATGCACAACTGGAACTTATACCAAATGGATGTCTATAATGCCTTCTTGCAAGGTGATCTTGAAGAAGAGGTTTATATGCAGTTTCCTCCTGGATTTGGTAGCCAAGGGGGGCAGAATCAGGGTTGCAGGCTTCTCAAATCCTTATATGGTCTCAAACAGGC